CATATACATACAATATTATCAAATCACGATTTAGTCTACAAAATAAAAGAGTATAATATAGTATATTAATATTTATTTACTAAGCGGTTTCAACATAATAAAAAAAACATTTATGCAATTTATAGCATTTATATACAAAATTAAAAATATATATATTATTCTTACTATTATTATTATTTATTATTACTACAATCGCTTGTACTCGAAATGTTGGCGCATCGTTGTTGGCTAGTGGGAAACGTGTCTCTCGTGATAAAATACAATTCAGAGGTCAAAATTCAACCGTTTAGATTAATCTGTTCTTAACACTAATAATATGTTTTGTCAGTACATTAAATTGTAATAAACCGATATCTTTTATATTCCGGTCAGTCGCGTGTGAGTGTTGTTTGCTGGACCAGTCGTCATTCAAACAATAGTTATACTTACGTCGATGCATCAATATTATTCAAGGCGTAAAACATAAAACTTACCCACGATCGCTTGCTTGGCTTAACATTAACAAGGTAATTTAGATTAAAAATAGTCATTTTTAATTAAATGGCATTGTTACTATAAATATTAACGCATAAACTTTTTATATTTGTTTTCTCTATTCGTATTTTTATATTTTCTGCATCAACCCTATATTGAGAGTAATAATAAAATGTATATTGTTCGTTTACTGCGGAGAATTTTTATACTTTATTCAAATGTATACTTATATACATGCATTAATTTTGTGAGAAAATACTTTATTATGTAAAAATTAAAAGGAAATAACGTTGATTAAATTGAAACTTTTAGAGTTCATCTCACAACTCATGCGTATGACTTTTTTTTCAAGAATTGATATTCGATAGWTTATCGTACAATTTTTTTTTAGACCTTTTTTCTTAATTTACACAAAATTGAAAAAAGTAATTATAATAAAAGTTGTACTTAAAAATGCTCAAACTAGCTGTATATATATATATGTATGTTTTTTTATGTGTAATATATATTCGATTTATTGGAGAAAATAATATTTAGGAAGACCAATTATTATTTTCCTCATCAATTCTTGTTTATAAGTTTGTTCATAAATAATTTGTTTTATTTTTGGTACCTAAAAATGCAGTGATTTTATCCATAAAAGTTAAAGGACACGGATCAATTCATATTAAGATTTTAATGAATGTTTCATTTTTCTATTATTCACACCTTAAAAAATATATACAACTCAACACCTCAAGTAATTATTAATAATACAGGATATTAATCTATTAAACAGCTTGGTATATTTTATGTACTTAAGTTTTACAAATGTAGACTTTTCAATAAAAAAGATAAACTGTGATAAAACTTTGTTAATAATTAGTGTACAGAGTGTTTTAAATGTTTAACTTTTGCAGGAAGTGAGTTTTTAGAAATTTTATTCGTCGCTTTTTATTTTTATTAAAGAATAGTCCCACTACTGAATTTTAACGTGCTGTTAAAATGTTATGTATTTTATATTGAGATAATTGCATAAAAACAAAACTTTAGTAGATGTACCTATATAATACATACAATCATAAATATTTCAAGAATATTTTTTTTATCAATTACCTAATAAACTATTTTCCAAATTATTTTTTTTATACCACCATAGATACTTTCATAAAATGTTTAGACTTTACATACTATCATACTGATATCATAAAATATGATCAGTGAACATAACATAATTTAAATATTTTAATGGATTAAATATTTACAAATAGTAGGATACCTTCCTATTATATAATTTGATATAATATTTTTTTACTGTTAAATTAAATAATGTCCATTAATGAGTTATATCCGTAATGGTTAGCTTGAAAATAAAGTACGATATAAATAAATYGTGTGATACACATGCTAAAGCGTATATTTTATATGATCCGAAATTATTATTCGATCGATAAATATTATAGAATTTACACAACCTAACATA